ATGCTGCGCAGTTTATCAGCACTTTTGGGTGGCGATCTCTCTGAAGATTGGGTGTTCGTATTCGACTGCATTGATAAGGCGCAAAAATCGTTTAGGTCGCGCGCCTTGTGTCTAAATTTAAATCGCCGCAAGAGGTGCTCTGAAACTAGTCTACATAATAAATAAAACATGCTATCAGGTCTACAATGACTGATAGCAAATCGACGATGGCTAATAACGTGTCCCGACTGATACTGATTGCCCAGCCAGTTTCATCAGCCGTTTTTCACGTTTTTGCGGTGGAACCTCCGACGCGTGTCTCTATGCCCATCTATTAATTATGCTTTAATTCAGCCCGTGTTGCTTGGCTTGAGTTTTTTTGTTTGTTGCTAGCTAATTGTCTAGACATAAGGTGGTACCTTTCCACTTTCGGCGTGTGAAACTGGCGAGAGAATGGTATGTTTTCTTTTGACTCACGCAGCCGGTGAATGATGTTCCAAAGCGGAAATACCCCAACATTAAATATTTATTGAATCGTTTAAAAAAATTTGTACAACCTTTCAAGTACTTAAATTAGGATGTTTTCAATTATAAATTAAATAGTACGAAGTATTTGTAGATAAGAAAATGATTATCGCTTCTGTTAGTGGTTTAGTTGTGTAGGCAGTATTCAATTGAAAATTAAATAAGAAAATATTTAAATGACTGTTGTACTTTTCTAATTTTTCATAAATGGATCATTCCAAATCAATACCGCCAGCATATCTTTATTTTACCACTTAAATTGTTAAAAATTATACAAATATTTTTTATTTTATAAACAAAACAACGAACGAAGCCGGAGTTTATATACCCTTGCAGCAATAAAAATTTAATATTGATTAAATCGACTTTATTTTTACCGATTTATAAGCAGCTGTGTTAAAAATCCATAGTCGTTCCAAATGTAATTTAAACGAAATATTAAAAAAATATATATTGATGGTGAATTTATTTTCTAATCTATTATTTTCTTATCAATTTTAATTTAAAAAAAAACTTGTAATGTTCAACTTTTTTTTTCTATTCTATAAAATTCGAATCTTCGAGAATAAGGTATTCCTTTTAGAGACTTAAACTTAATTTAGATTCTGAAAATACTAAATAGAACTCTACTTAAGGGTTCTCTGGCTTAGCTCGTGTTTTAATATAAAAGCAACATAAACCTTTTTAAAACTTGATTTTAAACGGATATATCAGTTAAAGCGCTAAATAGCCTTAATGGGGGCTATAGCAAAATCGGTCATTTTATGAGAATTTTTATTGGCGATAGGATGGTCTAAGCTCAATTTTTTGCATGTTTTTGCATGTGATAGAGCAACATTTAAACGACATGTGTAAATTTTTTCATCCAAAAATATTAAAAATTGAGTGAGATACAGGCAGTATCCGACGGCGCCTCGAAGAAAACACGTTTTGCGGTGTACACGATAACTGGTCACAGAATCACCTGCTTTGAAAAAATCAAATTGCATTAGTTAAAGTACAAGATTCCTCAGGTAACGCTGTCAAGTTTTAATTTTTTTTTCCCATTTTTTAAGGCACTTGAAAGTCAAAAACCCCGATTTTCTCCTAAAACGTCGACATATTTGTTGAACTAAAAATAAAAAATTAAAAAAAAAACTCGACAGCGTTACCTGAGGAATTTAGTGGAGAAATACTGTGCAAAATTTCAAAACTATCCGTCCGTTAGATTTTGCAGGATCGTGTACACCGACTTTGAAATGGCCACTTTTCAGGAGAGCGTTTTAAAGTTTTGGACACCCAAAAATCGAATACAAAACGAGCTAACTTACCTACGTTCAACTGACCCCTTAAGTTGTACTATAACTCACTATTATTACCCGGCTGTACATGTGATTTCTAAAGATTTTTTATTTTTTTATTAATAAATAACTTTAAAAACAAAAACTATGTTGTTAAAGACACTATTACAAAACAAATCATATGTTCTATATATTTCATAGCCCACAGGCAACCACATGGGACCACACCTTAAACGAGAGAAAAATGGAAAGTCGCCCGCATAAATTGAAAAATTTAAATGGTCCCCAACGACATCCGTTGGAAACCAACAAACTATAATTACAACAGCATCCCAAAGTCGCATGCATGAGAAAATATGAAAATCTGCACAGAAATAGGCATGCTATATTTATGTGAAAAGTGTGTACCACTAAATTTGCCAGCGGGTGCAGACAGAGGCTGCGGTAAGTGCATTTCAAGTGCATCCCAAGAGAGAAATCTTGTAGAATGATTTTGGATAAGAGCAGAGAAAGAGAGTATTGTAATTGGGGAAGAGGAGAGGATAAAGTAATAAGGGTAGGAAGGGAAGGTGTTAACACCCTGAGAAAAAAGGAAGGAAGACATACCTCAGTAAAAGGAAGTAGGCAAAAGGGTACTAAATATTATTATACAAATTAATTAACTTATAGAAAACTTAGAAATATGAAGGTTTTTTAATTCACGGATTTCTGGGTCTGAATTTGGAATTATCAACATATAAAAAAAGTAGGCGAAATCGAATCACGAATGGCTGGCGATCAGATGCATAAGACTAAACTCACTTTCCGAAAAATGTTTGAAGAAAAAAAAAAAATAAGGAAATGGGTTTAGGTTGGATTTGGAGTAAAGGAAAATCATGTTTATTTTCACTACTTATGTAAGTGTAATTATTGACTACGATCCCCTTTCAATACGCCCCTGAGCGATCTCATCTGGTCTACGCCGATGACCGGCAAACTGCAACGAGCCACTCAAGCAACCACTTCTTTATGCACGCAGGGATCTCTCGAAACCGGCTTTCAACTAGGCAAGCAACTTAGCCGGCCGGCTCAGCCTCCTCCTAACCCCTTCGAGACCCCCTCGTCCACCCAAAACCCCCTTTTTCAGAGAGGTTCAATGGGATGCTGCGTTGGCAGCCAAAGAAGAAATGAAGAAAGTGCGCAATCAAAGTACGTTTTTGTTTTGCAGTCGTTGAGACACTCGAAAGACAAAAAGCGTGAACCCTTCACGGAGTTGCATTATCATCGCGTTCGAGATGTGATTTCAAATCACGCACTACGAAAGCATTTCTTTGATTAAATAAAAGAAAAACTTAAATATTCGTGCACATAAACCAAAACCGCCATGAGTGAATGTTGCCCAAACACGCACATCGAAAATAGACCATAGATAAAACTCACACAGATACACGCTCTCCATGGAGGAGGCCCAACAATCCAGCCACAATTTCGAGTTCCGCACAGTCGAGACTGCATTTCTGTATGGAGTTGGTTGCATTCGGCTCCAGCGGTTTCCGCTTGTCTGGGACAAAAATTTGATGTGGGTACGACAGATTTCATGTGGGTCGAAAATGGTCTTAGAGTTGGAATGAAAAAGAAAGGCGACGAGGAAAATCAATTTAAATGGTTCATTAGTTGGGTCTTTGAAATTTTGAGCCCCTTATGCAGGTATTAAGTGGGGGATTTGAAATTTGATAATGATTTTATTTTCAAGCATTATGGAATTGATTAGGAATTTTAAATTATAATGACTAACGGCCATAACTCTTTTTTTATGCGATTTCAGAGCTATTTATTTACAAATATTCTAAAATTTATAAATAATCGACTATAAAAACTTTTTTAAGACTTTGTATAAAAGTTTATTACTCTTAACTAATAACTAATAACCTAAAACAATTAAGTTCGAACCAGTTAACTATATGTCTCAGAAATGTAATCTGCAAAAATCTAAAATAAAAATATTCTCTTACACAAGACACTCTTGCGAGGGCTAATTGATTTACAGATGTCAAGGGGAGCACCCCTAAAATAAATGCGTGGGCATACATGTAGTACACAAACCAAAACCCACTCAAAAACGAGTTGAGTGATGATTGATGCCCCATTTAGCGATTGAGTCAGGAAGGAGACCATAGTATTAAAAAGTCATTTTTAAAAGTAATTTACATTATTACAGTTTAATTATAAAATGTCTATTTTAAGTCTGAGCTCAATATTTTGCTACCAATAATAATCGTACTGGTAGGTCGATTTTGCCCCACCTCCACCTTTCAAAACCAAATTTCAATAGAAGCCCGTTCGACTGCACTTAATTTTCACGGCGTCAAAGAGTTAACTTGGCAGATCAGCGACAATAGTACAGCGACTACGATAAGATAAATGTTCAAGCAGCTGACCGGGGAAAAGTGTTTGCCAAATCCCTTAAAATTCACTCGACCGCCACGAGGCGTAGTGGGGAATTTCGACTGAAAGATGGGATGCTCCCCGTGCAAGCCAAGTGATCATGTCTCGAGGAGCTGACACCCGTTTTGACTTTTGTCACCGCCAGCGGCGCCTAAACTAATCAAAGCAACTAAGACTAAAGCCAAACTACAACTACAATCATGGCGGAATATCAAAATGCAATCAAAATATGCAAGCCACGTAGATCAGGCGACAGGAGGAAAAGAGACACCGAGAGGCAGAGAGAGAGAGAGAGCGCGGCTATTCTAGAAAGAGAAACGAGAAAGGAACCTGAATCCCAGACACCGAATTTTATATACTCTGTCCTATTAAATAAAAATGTATTGGCGGCATCGTTACTATTACTAATACGTTGGATAAGTGGGGCGAAATCGACAGGAGCTTCAAAAAAAATGTTTTAATAATTTTATATTTGATAAAAATCCTAATAATGATTTTAAAATGAAGTCGAAATGTATCTTTTAAGTATTAAAAATATATTATTTATACATTCAGACTTAAATTTGAAGCTACAAAAAAGGTTCTACCTTTTAAAGCTTTTTAACACTTGTGGAGTCCGTTTCGTCCCACACTTACCGTTAGTCTATAAGATCGATAAGATCCCTCCCTGTCGTACAAACATTTCACTAAACACTCTTATACTCTTTGAAAGGGTATAAAAACACCCACTCTCTCGCTCTCTTCGCCGATCGCCGGGAAGTCTTAACGGCAAGTTGCAGCAACAAACATTTTCATTCGTTTTCGCAGCGTCGAAGCGTACGGTTGGTTCATAGGAGGAACGAAGCGGGGAACGCGACGGAAACTAGTTGTTGCTGTTTTTTTGTCCGTGTTATTTAAAACAAAATCACAAAAAAATTAAGTAACACTTAAGCAAAGTCCGCGAGAAAATCAATTAAATATCGTTCGTCGGTTTGTGCGTGTGACCACCAAAAGTGCCCCGATCGGAGGATTTTAATAAATTCAATTAAGGTCCCGTCCCAAAGATCGCTTTCATTGTCTGACGCACACGCGTGATGCACAAATGAAAAAGTAAAAATATATAATAAAAGAAAAAGAAAAAGTGATTGACTGCACAAGAAAAAGAAAAGTTCCTTACCTCCTGAAGCGAAACTGAAAACAGAGAGAAGATAACAACCAACGGTTAGTTGCGAACTTCAAACCGAAACATAAACAAAATGTATTGCTAAAAAATATCATACAAAATTGTGTAAATTATTTGATGTTTTATAGCAATTAAAAATATCTAAACGTTATTTTCTATTAACTATAAGGCTTCTTTTTAAGTATCATAGCATATCTATAAAACCTTGTTTCGATTTTAATTTAAAATCTTATATTGATATGAATTCGGACCAAACTAATAACTTTTCGAATGACATTAAAATATGTGGATCTCATTATGGAATTGGTGTTACTATACTTGTGTGTTCATCATTAAAACCGATTCCACCTGAGATTAGCAATCCACACAAAAATTACATAAAAATATATTTTCCGATCATGCATTATATTTACATATTACTTTCCAATTAACTGTTCATTTATTGCCGCTTTGCTGCGCTTCAATTATAAACAAAAACAAATCGTTTAATTTTCTATATTTTTTCACAGGGGCTTCCACACAAAAAGTTCCTTGTTTGAAGTGATCATTGTAATCAGCCCAGATCGAAGCCATATATAAAATGATTTCACACAGTCCGCCCATATTCAGTCACAGTCCACCCGTTAGTTTTCTGGCGGACTTCATGAGCGCACATCAGCGTCAATCGTTAAAGTAAGTTTCCAAAAAAAATATAGACATTAATAAATAGTCCCATTAATTGGACTTATTTAATACTAAATTGATTTAAGTGAGCTCACGAGTTTCGACTGCCAATCAAAAGAAATTAGTTTACAAAAATATTCTAAAGGGTTTTAGCTTGAAACGTTTTAAGTTTTGCTGTCACCTCTAAAAGCGAACTTAGCTTTCCGTTTTGTTATCGGTTGATAAGACACCCCAAGCATTTTCTGATACATCTTAAAAGAATTTAAACAGCTGTGTACGTGTTAATGAAAGGAAATAAAAAAGGTCGATAAAATTGTCAGATTACCTGAGTGAAAATAAAAAAATTCCGTTTCCGTTGTTATATAATAAACATGTGATATTGAGTGAATTAAACAGAGATATATATGAACTTTGAATATATTTAGGGTTTAATGAATCGAAATGCTTTTTTTTTTTTTTAAATAAATGTGTAGCCTAAAACACATCTAAACATTCAATTAGCAATACACATTTCAAAACACAACCTACTTTGCCTAAATAAACAAAGCAGAGTGGCACAATTTCATTTACCTAATGTAAGAACTCAAATATTTAAAAATGTGAAAACGAAAATTCGATCCTATTGAGGGCTGTCAACATTGATACAATTAAAACACCTGTTCCAACTGGCGTTTGGAAACCTTTAAGCACCTGATCAAAGGCGGGAAAATCTTGTATTAATAAAACAAATACGAATTTTTCAAGAACACAATGACTGCAGGTACTAAAAATATTCGGCGACTAAGGTTCGGTTTTGGTTGACAACAGATTGGCGAAATATGAAATGAAAGCATTCAAGATCAAGGCAAGACAAATGGATGAACCAAAACAAACATTTCGCCGATGCTGAGGTGATCTGTTGTTGGTAGAGCCGAGGGAGATTTGGAGAATCGTTCACGAGTCTGGGAGATGGCGTCGAAAAATCGCTCGCTTGGCGACAAATTTGCGCGTGGCGCCTTGACGCAACTTTTTTTCTTAGGGGCACAAGAGCAACTCGAAAATTATGACAAATTGGTGAAGGGAAAATGTCTATATATTTAGGGGCGAAAGCAATTGATCCAATAAAACCAATTTGCCGCGCTTCATTTGCTGCACGCGCTGCATTTAACTCATATTTGTAGTGAGAATTTTATTTTCGGGAATGATAAATATACAATAACAAAAATTCGAATAATTTATGGCAAGATATATATGTGAATTTAAGCTAAATATAAATATATATGTAGAGCCGGGCAAAACAAACAGGCAAAAGAAACAGCGAACAGAAATCGAATAATCAGTTAAGGCTCTTAATCTTAACTGATTATTTGGCTCAAAAGACGAAACCTGAAACAGTTTGAGTCTATTTTTGAAACCCCTGCTGAGAGAAACTATCAACATTTCTTATCGGGGCACGTGAGCAAAATGCCGTTAAGCACACCTTAGCACTCCAACTACCTCAAGTAACTCAGTTGTTAATGCGTAAAATCACTCGAAATTTCACAGCGTGATTTTACAACAACTACTCATGTTTTGAATGCCAGTTTACTACAGCCAATACTTAAAATCACCCACGTAACTCAGAGGGTTGTCATCGACAACACTTGAAATTTTTAAGTTGCCAATTCAATAAATCAGCAATAAATATGCTGATATACCGTCCAGACGGCAGAATGTAGCCAGAAAAAGTGGTGATTACAGAGCAGACGGAAAAGTTCCCATAGCCAGGCCCACGCCGAAAAAGCAGTATCAGCATGCCACCAACATATGTTCAGCATGCGAAAGTCCATGCGAACCCCATCGGACCTTATCAACCATTGACTTTTAGTTTTATGAATGTCTAGCCGAATAATTATGATAACTAAAATTGGGATGCGAACTGTGACAAATGAGTAACACCAACGAGAGTCTCCGAAAATACAATGTGATGACTCACCGAACGATCCAAACAAATAGACTTCAACTCAATATTGTACATTCCTCCACGACAAACCTAAATTAAGTGGGGAGGTCGTGCGCAACTCCGCTGGGCCTTATCAGCAATGCTTCTTTAAAGACAATATAAAAGTATCAGCAGAAGTACAAGTACAAATACTAGTAGTACATGGGCCTCAGAACAATGAAGGCAAACATTGAGGCAGTAAAAATTTAAGACACCGCTCTTATCAGGCCTGATAAAAGACAGCTTGATGCGTAGATGGCCGAAATAAAAGAATGATCTTTTCTCTTTTTTTTGTCCCGCAAAAAAATTTACAATATTCGGTAAAAACAATTGAAAGATAGCTGCCATCTGATGTTCCGAATATAGAAATTTTATTTTCACAAAGGGATATATATTTTAACTAAATGTAAAGTGCAAACTAAAAGAATAAGCTCGTTAAATTAATTTATCTTATTCCATAAAAGTATTTTAAAATAAAGAATTTCAAAATTTTGAAGTCAAAATAAAATTTTCAAAAATTATTCAAAAATTGTTGGGCTATATAAAACTCATTTATTTTGGTCTCTTATTTCAGTTACAATGACGAGCCCAACAGAGCGTCTCGCTACTGCCGGCCCCAAGTGATAACACTGGCCTCCAAAGCCATGGTCAACAACGCCTCGGCGGCGGTCCAGGGCCAGAAGGCGGGTGCCACGCCCCTGGGCGTGGGAAGTCGTTCCGGACGGAGCTACCTGGAACGGATGGCCTCGGCTCCGCTGCTCACCAATCAGCCCAAGTCCTGTCTCAGCCGCAAATCCTGCCTGCGCAAGTCCCAGAACAGTTCGGCCAGTTCCACAGATCTCTCGCCGACGGACAGTGATGTTACGGACAGTGCCAGCCATAGCTGTAAGTGCAGCAAGGACAGCGACAGCAACGGATCCACACACTGCGAGCTGAGGTGAGTGCACACTCGGCGATAAGATTGCGTAATGGAGGTAACTCGATATGGCGACGGCAAACCGATCAAGAGGGCGTAAGTGCCGCAGGGTTCAGTCACTTTGACGTCAGGCCATCGAAGATAATGGCGCCGCACCTACTAAACCACCAACTGAACTAGATGGGACTTTTGTGGGGCGAGAGTCTAGGTAAATGTGGTCAGAACAGGGTGATTCATTTATTCGTAAGTCTTTAAACGAGGGGAAAATCTTGGGGAAAACTAGAGAAAGCGAAGTAACACAAGGAGCTGTAGATGGTTTGATTTGGTATCTTTATACCCTTGCAGAGGGTATTATAATTTTGGTCAAAAGTGTGCAACGCAGTGAAGGAGACATCTCCGACCCTATAAAGTATATATATTCTTGATCAGGATCACCTCCTGAGTTGATATAGCCATGTCCGTCTGTCCGTCTGTCCGTCTGTCCGTCTGTCCGTCTGTCTGTCCGTCTGTCTGTTTCTACGCGAACTAGTCTCTCAGTTTTAAAGATATCGAACTGAAACTTTGCACACACCCTTCTTTCCTTTGCACGCAGTATATAAGTCGGAACGGCCGGGATCGGACGACTATATCCTATAGCTGTCATATAACTGAACGATCGGAAATGCCATAACTTTGGTGTTTGTAAAGTTAGGAAGTTGAGATTTTCTATAGGTTTTATTTTTGGCCAATCAATCTGACCTACCGAATTTCATGAGAATCGGCCGACTATATCTTATAGCTGTCATATAACTGAACGATCGGAAATGCCATAACTTTGGTGTTTGTAAAGTTAGGAAGTTGAGATTTTCTATAGGTTTTATTTTTGGCCAATCAATCTGACCTACCGAATTTCATGAGAATCGGCCGACTATATCTTATAGCTGCCATATAACTGAACGATCGGAAATGCCATAACTTTGGTGTTTGTTAAGTTAGGAAGTTGAGATTTTCTATAGGTTTTATTTTTGGCCAATCAATCTGACCTACCGAATTTCATGAGAATCGGCCGACTATATCTTATAGCTGCCATATAACTGAACGATCGGAAATGCCATAACTTTGGTGTTTGTTAAGTTAGGAAGTTGGGATTTTCTATGGGTTTTATTTTTAGCCAATCAATCCTACCTATTAAATTTCATAAGGATCGGCCGACTATATCCTATAGCTGCCATATAACTGAACGATTGGAAATGCCATAACTTTGGTGTTTTTAAAGTTAGGAAGTTGTGATTTTTGATGAGTATTAAGAATGCATATGAATAATTTTGGAGAATATAATTTTCAGAGTATTCTGCAAGGGTATATCAACTTCGGCTCCGCCCGAAGTTAGCTTTCCTTTCTTGTTTTCAAGTAACTTGGTAGCTTGTGGTTAGACTATAAAATCGAAACGGGATCTGAAAACGTTAAAAGGTAACCCCTTAAGAAATTAAATGGATCATTTAGTTGAAAGCATGACATAAACTTTAAAGATGGTACAGTACTACAAAAATAAAAAGAAGAAGAATAAAAATTAAATGGTATTTTATTTTCTTTAATTTACCAGATAAGAGTAGACGAACAAAATATTAAAGTTTAATATTTATTATTTGACCATGCTTAATAGATATTTAAAATCCTAACCATAATAACAACAAGAGAATAAAGCAATCAAATGATTTAAGGGGTTATCCGGGTCTTGGAGCACGAAAAAAAGCCTATTTTCGTGAATTTTTTTTAAAGATCTTATGACAAATTCACAAATTTCATTTATTGTACATTAATGTTTATGGTTTGACCAACATTGTGTAAAAATTTGAACCAAATATTTTTAAAATTGAGCCGTTGAGGCAGGCTTGAACTTGACCTCATAATAAATTGTGTCCTTGCGGTAGGCAAAATATCTCCGCCAATTTTTGTCTGAAATCAAAAAACCAAAATTATTCTGATAGTGTATGTGTCTCGCTTGTCCTCTACGAGCCATTTTTTTTTAAATTAAAAATTGAATTTTTTGTAGCGCTTTTCATAAAAAGTGTCATTTTTTACGTAAATTTTGGCCATATTTTGGCTTATAAAATGAGTTGTAATTAAAAATTAAAAAAATCCCTCCGTTAAGGACAAGAGAATTATGTCTAAAAGAAGTGTGCAAAAGCAGAAGTTGATCGGTGCAATAGTTTTTGAGAAATCGTGACTACCGACTTCAAAAAAGTGGTTTTGAGAAAAACGCGTTTAAAGTGCCGCATCTGCCCGACGCCAGAGCCCTTGGCTTGTTGTGACGTTCGACGCGCTGGGTTTTAAATTTCTCCCATTCCTACAGTTTTGCTTCGATCGACTTGAAATTTTCAGACAACATTCCTGAAACTTTGTACTATTATATAAAAAAGTTTGAAAAAAATGAATTTTTTGAAGTGTCAAGACCCGGATAACCCCTTAAGATCATTTCTAAACTTTATAAGCATTTCGAAAAACCGTCAAAAGGCCATTTCCGCTTGAAGAATGTATAAACAAAGATTAATCGTTTATAAGGCATTTACGATAGTTCAAGTAAAAGGAACAAGAAAATCTGTTGGCAGTCGAACAACTTTCCCACAGACGTCATAGCCGAGCACATGTTATTTGGTAAATACGAAGAAAAGCAAATTGCATACGGCCGACAAGCTAAATACATGCAAAAAGATCATAAAATATACTCGATATTTAAGCTATATTCAAGAACATGCAATCTCACAAAAACAAAATATAAATTATCTAAATGACTGAGAAATCTGCCAAAATAAAAACACGCCACTGCATCTCGAGTCGAGCGTCTTTATTTAGTATACCTTAGATAAAAAACCGCACATATTAAGACTCAAATCGGAACAGACTGTATTTAGTATAGGCCCCAGCAGCAAGGCGTCATTATTTTTATTTTCCTTCACCATTTACCCGCAATATATGGGGAACACATTACCTATTCATAAGCAGACCATGAAAATATTTAGGTTATCGATGTCTCGCAGATATTTTGTAAATATATTTCGCTTTCAACAGGCCCTAGAAAAGTTTCCTTCTTTGCACTTGAATCTGACATTTTGAAAAATACCTAAAAATACACATGCCACGAGATAGAGAAAATAATTTATACGTACATTTGCGTCAAAGGCGGGCACTATTTCTATTTGGGCAATGTCTAGACGGGACATCGGCTTAAAGCTTCACAGCTTCCCAAAACGAATGCAATTACCCGTAATATTATCAATGTAAACCAGACGTGTGCCTGTTGCTGGTGTAGATTTTGTGTACATTTTGCGGTTGCGTATTTTATATGAGTTGATTTATCAGTTACGACATCCACTGAGAAAAAAATATTGCTCTGCTTTAAATTTAAATATTAAAAAATAAACAAAAACTTTGAGCAGATCATGTGTCAATAAAGTCACAGATAAAAAGTCATTAACTACCAACAAAAACTGTTCATCCTTAAACAGCCACGTTTTAAAGCATCGAAATCACATCCGTCATCTTCAAATATTTTCCGCACCGAACTGTCAATTATGAAGACCTTCTGCCCCCTTCCTTGAATCACATTTGACAGCCTATGAAAAGCTTTCTTCTTTCTTAATTAGCCTCCCCGAAAATCATCAAGATCAACCACCAAACGAAGCAGACGGGTCACGCCAAGGCCGAAGAATTATTAGCCTAGAAGCGTGATCGCTCTCAAGCGAAAGGCGTCATGTTAAATACACATTTTTTTCGGGTGTAACGTAACTAAAAATATTTCAACATTACAAGCCTCGGAACACAAATGCACACAATGTAAGGTTATATATAGAGATGGGGAGATATGTCCGATGTTCATGCGAAGATCACGTGAATTGATCAGAAATGTGGGGCTGGGGCAGATGCGTCTGCTGTAAAAATGATGGCGCCCCATCATCTGAAAAATGTGAACAAATTTCGTAATTTTCACTTTTATTTTAAATTAATTTTATTGCTGGGCATAGAAAGTAATTAAGAAAATCCAAACCACCATAAAAAGTTTTCCCCTAAAAACTATTTTTATGTCTAGTCAATTACTATTGGACTTTGGATTTGCGTAAAGAAAATTTCCGAAAAATCTAAACGTGAGGTATTTTTGGATAAGCTAAAGATTCTTTTTAGCGGAAGAAAAATAGGAAAACCTGAAAGTTTGGCGACATAAAAGACGGAAATACCTTGAATCATTTAAAAAAAAAAGCCCAGTTTTAAGGTCAACTAGAATGCCCATCAAATATGAGCGATGTAAAAGTTTGAACAGGTCTTGGCAGAATATTTTCGGACAGGTTATTGACATAAGAAAATGGGGGACTCGAGCAAGGCCCTTAGATTAAAAACTAAGGAAATTAAAAAGTATTTTAAGACATCATTTTCATTTACATGAAATGTTTCGGATTTTAAAGAGCCCTTTTACTGGGACCAAAACTTGTTTCTCCTGCCCATCATCGAACTTAATGTGGCTTGCATATTGAGGAGTTTTCAAATTTATGGACTTGTTGTAAACCGGACCCTCAAAAATAAATGCGAACCGTAATGCATACGGAATTGTGGTTAAACAAATGCAGTTGATAACCCAAACTCGTTTCCCTTGGAGAAAATGTAAGCCAAAGTGGGGAAAACGTCTGGAAATGCAAATGAATATTTTTTATTTTTTCGGCTGATCTCTTTCATAGTTGACACGTTTCAGGAAAGCGGTCGAGAAAATACAAAAAACGAGACCCGTCTGCGGTCTCTGATTTCTGGTTGGTCTGCTGGGCGTTGAGGCCCACACACCAGATCCAGATAAGCGATCGCCTCGAAAAGAAACCTGTTGAAGAAAATGCAGCAACAGCAGGCGCACACCGATCATGCCCTCGCTGCGTGATCATCGACGATAGTCGTTTCGATCCAATCCGATTCGAACTGAGTCGGGTGGTGCGATCTCCGGCAATTCAGCCGGCGTTCAATAAACAGAGAGCCAGCCTGGCAATAGCCAGTACAATTGTTGGCTATTTGTATTTGCCATATATATTTAGCACTCGAAGCCTTTCCCCGGACCCTCCTCCAATTTGCAGGCCAAATAAATTCTGCTCCGTGTGGGGGGCATTCAGTCGTAGGTTTGCTCAAACTGACGGAAACTTTTTTATTTCTCAGCGTTAGCGAAAACGCATAAAAAAGCGAGCCCCTAACAAAGCTGATTAGCCGAAATAAGTTGCAATATCTTATCGATTTTATGGCCAATTTTCTAAATAGAACGTTTTAATCAACTGAAGTGAAGTAGGGAACATTTATTAAATGAGGTGAGAAGTGTAGCGAGCGTTATTCCAATAAGCAGAGGTTATAACAAGATTCCCAAAGAATCTTAGAACCGGAAAATTATTTTATAAAAAATTTATTTAAAAAAGTAGGCAAGTAATAACCTAAGTTTTACATAATTTTTTAATATTTCTTCAATAATATCTTATATAAAATGTATGTATGTAAAAACCACAACAAAACGAGTTCATTTGGTTTCAGTCATTTTTCAGAGTCCAAGAATTTTTTTGTCCGACGTTTTTGTTTCATAATTTCCGAAATTTTATTTGGTTATTTCCTACATTTTGAATCACGAGTTATCCTATATATCTTAGTGAGGCGTGTTTTTATTTACATTAAAGTCAAAGACTCGTGGGCAGAGTCGCCCAGCAAAAAAAAGCAAAAAGAAAGGCAAAACCAAAAGTAGGCGTGTTTTACATATAGATTAAGGCAAATCTTTGGCAAAACCGTACGTGACTGCTAAAAATAAAAAGAAAAATATACAATTCACATGACGCAGGGAATTTTTCGGGAACCGCATTTTTTAAAGGAATACAATTCTTCATTTGAAAAGGAAATCATTCCAGAATATAATTTTGCTAGCTTGCAGGGTTTTAAAAATTCAAAACGATTATAAGTTAAAAGCAATTGGCATACACTGATTTTGCTATCTGGCAGAAGCCTCAATAAATGTTCATAAAAAATGCATTTGGCAACGGCGCAGTTAGCTAAACTAAAAGTCAAAACAAACCAATAAAATCAAACTGTTGAGCATAAAAATAGAAATCTGCTCAGAGAAAGATGCCGAGTCAATGACCACAAAATTATAAAATGCATATTTCCAAATGGGGGGTCAAGTCAAACTGATAAAGCCCGGGTCAAATCTACGTTTAATTATATATATTAATAACGATTAATTAATTTATAATATATTGTGATGTACTCAATGGATGGGATTTCTTTTTTTGCAGCCGTGGCCCCAAAAAGCATGTGATCTTTGCGGATGATGAGGGTCTATCGCTTACCGAGGTTCGTGTGATGTCCGAACCCTCGAATGTGCCGCCCTATTGGAGCATGAAATTCTTGGAGCAGATAACACAGGGCCTAGTGAGTCCACATCCACCAGATCAGTGGACAGTGGACTTCAAGCAGCCGGCATCAGACTATCTATCATTCAGGTGAGTTAAAGACAGATTCAAGCTTGTGAAACTTTAAACAGACTCTTATATAATTGAAGAAGAAACTATAATTTTTAATGTTTTTTTCTTATTGCAGACAAAAGATAGACAAGAACTATGTTTCCTTGGAGAATGTGATCGTTAAGGATGAGGAATCGATTGTGGTGGGCACCATCAAGGTGAAGAACATCGACTTCCAGAAGGAGATTATAGTACGTGTGACCTGGGATGATTGGAAGAGCCAGCAGGATATCTTTTGCACATTCGCCAGGGCCTATGGACCGACTACTTGTGCCCATGTAGTCTTCGATACATTCTCCTTCAAGATCACCTTGCCGCCATCCTCCAAGCGCCTGGAGTTCTGCATCTGCTATCGCACCAACGAAACAGAATATTGGGACAATAATGATGTGAGTTCAACACACAAATTATTACAAATTCTTTTATGAAAGTTGCATCAACTTACAGGGTAAAAACTACACCATCAGCAAGCGATCGCCCTTTTATTACAACGCCTTGTCGCCCTACGATAAGGGCCAGAATCGCAACTCGAGCCAGCAACTAAGGTCCACCCTGACCGATGCCTTGGCAAAGGTGCAGGATCAAAACGGTTGGCACCAGGAGCCAATTACCCCCTATTGGTAAAATCGCCTGGGAACGGGGGTGGATTTTCCCGACCCAAGCGGTTGAATAAAGTTTCTCATTTAGGCCACATGAACAGAAAGAAACAGAATTGGAACAGATTTAAAATTTATAAACTGTTTTAGTGACAGAGAGAGAGTCCAAAAGATTTTACCACTAACGAAACTTTTTGACTTAAGCTTATACCTGGTACAAATATCCCAATTTAAAAGTGCCATTGACTTGAGGATTCCTCAATGATAATTGAGATAGAGGGGCTTATAACTACTTCTACTAAGCAAAAGCCCCAAATTGTATGTTTTGTCTTTTATCAACTCGATGGAATTTTAAAATCCCAACTTTTATGTCTAACTTTTTAAAATGTTTTATGTTCGATTGCAAAGAATTATTGAAAAATCTAGATTTATATGTTTACCTGTATGCCTGTGTGATTGTCTACATCTATATAACTGATACTAGATTTATGTAAACTAAAAACGAAAAACCACATAAAAATGAAAGGAGATGAATTTTGAGGCGTGAAACATCCAAGCAAACCATTGTTTCGAAATTTTCTGCAATTGCAAAATAAAGAAAACAAAAACACACATTACGAAACCACACAAGAAAAACAACAAAAATTGTAGTCCCTAAGTTTATTCGTTTTATTATTTTCATTTTTATTCTTTTCATTTAATTATATCATTTTTCTTTTTGGTTATTTGAAACGCTAAGACTGAAATGGCTTGTTATGGAGAATAAAACACGTCCTGCAATATATTATATAATACAATAAAAATTAAAAAACAAATCGCATCATCACATAACAGACAACCAATTTATTTGTCCTTATTGTTCTGTGTGATCCAGATCCCCGATATATACACCTAACTAGATTTAAGTGATTTGTACATACAGAAGCAAGAGCAAACAATATACCAGAAAATTGCCTGTTAAATACATTTATATACATATGAATTTAGTTATGTAAAAATTCCTAGTTCGTAGTCCTTAGAGGTTATTTAGTTGGTAAGGCGCCAAACTGACGTAACGTGAATGAATCAACTATATATGTGCCCATATATAAAGCGTACTCTATAATTATTTAGTTTCTACTGAATTTATGACAGAACGAGCCATTAAATTGTCTTATTCAGCTCAATGCTCATAAACACAATAAATATTTTTTGGAAAACCTATGGAGTTTTGAGTTATATAAAAGTATTTATGTGGGCTTCAATACTTTCTAACTGCCCCTTTTTCACAGATAAACATAACTCCTTTATAGCAATCAATCCTTGTTTTCCTGGCTGCTGTGTTTATCATCTTACGGAGAGTGTGGGAGAGTAGTTATGTAAATGGTTATAAAGAGATCAGCTAGCTCCAACACAAAACGATCCAAATCCACTAATTGGTTTGCCCTTTAAGCCGGTGATCGCTTTGAACTTTGGATCGAATCCCATTATTCAGTTTTTAATTCCACTGTTTCAGTTTAAAAGCCATTGACATACAACTTTCCCAATCAAAAGTTTCAAGAGTGTCCATATCAAAACAAATTCAGCAACTATCTTATGAGTTTTTAAAATATTAATATATTTTGTAGTTTAGTATCTTTCCATTAGAATTAATCGTTATGGTGTTTCTATTCTCAATTCGCTTGAAATTACCTCCTTCAGCTACTCAAAGCCATACAATAACCACCATTTTCAATGTCAAGAACAACATTTATTGGTCATAAGGTTATCTCCACGAGTCGTTTTTTGTAATCACAGGCCCGAGTAAGCTATAACCCGACAGATCGAAAAGATTAGAAAATGCATCTTGGTAGTGTTTTTATATTTTATAATTTAATTTATTCAGAGTGCTTTCTTGGGTAACGGGTCAGACAATTGAAATAGCATAATATCATATTCGCATGTGTGGCCTTGCGGGGCGTGGGAGGGCAGCGGGGAGGGGAGAACTGGGGGCTGGCCATCGAAGGTACAACATACGGACATACTTTCTAGCGCAAACTAGACACACATAGGGTTAAATATAGCACATAGTATTAAATAATATATGGAATTAAATACTTTGAACTTGAGTGTAGCTTAGTTACGTAAGACAGAATGTTTAGTGATTAAAGTAGAAAGATTCGACTATATAAAAGTGAGGATAAATAGCTGTGTCAGAGAAATGCGTAAAGTGTTGTTCCTGGAATGTACATGTGCAATGGCACACACGCAACATTGATGTATTGTTGTCAAAAATTAGCATAAGGCTTTCGGCTATACAGAAATCGAAAAATCGTTAGAAAGTAAAAGTATGTTGCTCCTGGGTCTGCCCACAATCGCGCCAACTAATCAACTCTGGCCTAAAGGTAACCGTGTGGGGTAGCCCACTTAGGCCTGCTTGGCCTTCAGGCTGGCGGGCATCTCTGGGGGTGGTGGGCGAGGAATGCCCAGGGCGACCTTCACACCGTCATAGATGAACCACTGCAGGGCGGTCAGAGTACCGATCATGATGATACGCGGCGTCAGTCCGTTCCACATGCCACTGAAGCCCAGCGACTTGGCCACGCTAATAGCGCTGGCTCCCTTGGCCTGGTTCAGCTTGGACACCACCACGTCGGCGGGATGGGACACCACGGCGCAGAACACACCGGCGATGTAGCCAGCGGCGAAGGTCACGATCAGCTGCTCGCCCTTGGTGCAGTCGGCGCGGGGCTTGGGCACCACATACCTGCGGGAGATTATATCATTAGTATCGATTTAGGTGGACGGCATCGATTGGCTCTAGTTTTCACACTTAACGTTGAAATAATAATTTTCCATTTTATGATAAATATAAAAATAATATTACATTTATAAAGATGATAACAAAATGATAAGATTCAGCTAACAAGATAAGATAGTTTCAAAATTTGTATTCTAGTTTGTTATATATACGTCAGAAAAAGTTATCTGCGTGTACGAAATACTTTATTTTCGGCCAAATAATAATTAAGAAATTAAGAATTAATTAAAATCATTACTTAAAAGAACTAATAGTTAAGTTTTGCGATGCTGACGATATTCGCAATAATGTAAATCTTAGAAATATGTTTATTTTCACTATCTTTAAAACATTCTTATTTTATTAAAGCTTTTTAAACGATTAATATGGGTGTCTGTGAAAAGCAGTGGTAACTCCCAAAGCAAATGCTACTTACTTGTACAGCAACTCCACGGTGCGCTCGAAGCAAGCGAACTTCATCATGGTGTAAGGGATCTGTCGCATCCACAGCGGAACCAGACCCTTGTAGAAGGCATTGATGCCCTCCTCCTTCAGCATCTTGGGCACAGCCTCACGGAAGTTGTTAGCGAATCCGGGAATGGTCTGGATCTTGACCTTGGCGGCCTCGAACGGCGACAGAGCGATATCGGCGAAGAACTCGGCCGAAGCGGAAGCAGCCAGGTACAAGGAGGTGCGGTACAGGTAGGCATTCTCCTCACCAATAATATCGGCGTACTTTACCTTGAACACCTCGTACAGACCGAACTTGCACAGACCCTGGAAAAAAAACAAATTAAGGTTAATTTATTGTTTCTCACTTATTTATAACAACTGTGATCAATATGACATTTGGCATCTGAGATTTTTAAGATAATTTACACATAATCGGATAATAATAAACTATATAAAATTGTATTTATATTTGTATAAAAAACTATGATTAAAATGTCATTTGGTTTATTAAGGCAATCGATTCTAAATTGATTAGCAAAAGACTCGATAATACAATTTAAGTATTGCAGTTTATAATCGCTTTATATTTATCAATCAAATATCATAAATGTGGCTTTTTAGGTTGTATATCAAAAAAATAATTCATACTATTAATTTATATTACAAATATTAATATTAGTAATGTTTATATGTTGTTGTATGCGAAGGCGTTCTATGATTCTATTCACAAATATCAATCTATGATTGATAAGGTATTCTCGTTTCTTTACTAGGTACTAATTTGTTCATATTTAAATCTGATCTTAATATTTTTAAATTACTGTGATATAGTGGTTTGGGCAATACAGATTATTTTTTCGTTGGTAAGACTCCGTCATAAAAGGTCGCCCTCTCTAATTATTTATTATATCAAGATATCGATCAGATCACTTCCTTTATGTGTGTCGAACCCGGAACCGTGTAATTAGGGTCACGGGACCGAGTCACGAGCGAGGGAATTAAATCCGCCCCAGACCATTATGCAACCCAAGACCAAAGCCCCCATCCTCACCTGCGCCGAGTAGCCCAGCAGGGTGGGGAACCAGCCCTTGGCCAATCCACGGGCTCCCTCCTCCGCCACGGTGACCTTGAATCCGTGCACCAGGTTCTTGTACTTGGCCTGGTCCACCTGCAGACGGCACTTGACCAGATCCAGTGGGACCACAAAGGTGTGGGTGGTGCCGCAGCTGAGGATGCCACCGATTCCGCACAGGGCGAAGTACTTGGAGCTGCCGAACTCGCAGGAGTCCTGCTGGTTGGCCACAGGCGCGGCGGCGGCGGCGATCTGGCGACCTTCCACCGGCTGGGGATCCACCAGAGGGGCGGCGGCATCGCATCGCACGGCCGTCAGGGGGCTGCGGAAGGGCGAGTTCCGGGCAGTTTCAAAGAAGCTGGAGAACATCTTGGTTTTGTTCTGGATATTTGGGTCGGCTGAAAGTAGACAGACGACCGTCCATTAGTTACGTACCAGACATGTGCTTTATCTAATTATATATAGCTGGGGTAATCAGCTGCTTTTCGCCTCTTCAGGTTACATAACGGCGTGCCCAGAATTCCGCACACTTACGACTCTGGATTTACCCGCAAAATAGGAAAAAAGCAAACACACTCGGAATTTTGTCTATTTCGGGCAAGTCTACCGAACGCCTCGCTTACTTCGATTTTGATTGGAGAGATTCTTATGCAATTTTCGGCCCTGATTTTCGCACTTACTCTTCGTCAGCAACGATTGAGGCTCGTGGGCGCGGATTCAAAGAATGAGGGGGGTGGAAAAACATCGCTGCTTTCAGCGGTGTAATCGAAGTCATCGATGTTTTTAAAACATCGGTAGTATCGATGTTTGGGCATAGTCGGAGTTCTTTCATCACTAACGAGTAATGAAAATCCCACTGTAGATATCGCGCACTGTTAACGGTTCTACCGCGATTTTTACGCAGCCTTTTAGTTTCCATTCCATTTCATTAGTAAAATATCAATATAGGTAGTATCGATGTTTGACAGGACATCATCGATGCTTTCCCATCTCTAAAAATCATCGAATATGGTTAAGGTACTTGCTAACTTTTGAAAATGCCCACTATCTGCGGAGTGTGTCTTGTCTATACCGTGGTGCGGATGAAAAGGTATTTTTACGGTAATCAGAGTTGCCAGATATAAATTGTGGAACAAAACTTTGTTAGCGGTGATACACACCAAAACAGGTCAACTGCATTATGATGATGTTTATACCCTTTCTAATGGCTTCACAATTGTATTATTGAGCTAATCCTGTCTGACCTAATACACCTAATCTTAAATAACTCGGACTTCCGTACTCAAAAGTCTCCTTAGTTGGAAGAACAGATAGAAATACAGGAATATTTTCTAAGCTAAAGTATCTGATACTCGAAATTAGTTGTTAATTGCACGGACAGGAGATTTTGGCATTGTATTCCAGCATATGTTTAATTCTACAAGTGAAACCAAACTCGTTGTCGGGGGACCAAGTTTGTACTTACATAATTTCGCATCTGTCTGCATTTTTATGGGGCTTATAAGGCTTGTAGAGCACTATGAATATAAAGGTAAATTAAAATGGTTTCCATTGAAAAACACAAGTATAGTGTAAAATCAGAGATTTCAACTTTGACGGCGTACACCAAAAACTAAGTTTAATGTTGTGTATTGTGTGTGTTTAAACAAACCAATCATATGCCTTTTAAATTAGCAGACCTGGGTTTAGGCATCAAACAAAAGGCAAAAAAAGGATATTTTCAACAAGTTTCGAGTATCTTTCGATCAACCTTTTTCTTCTCTGGGGCTGCCACGAGAAGAATTAAAACCTAATGATGATAATAATTTTTCTTTAAAACAATTATGAAGGATTTTTTTACGGGTGGTCAATTATTAAGATAGGGATTTGCCATAATGTTTTAAAAACGATTTCGGGGAAGAGGCTGACTCGAATAAATTCCAGCCTAGAGTCGCACTTGTTTTTCAAATATAATGACAAACGCTTATCTTTATATTAAAGCTAAATTATGTGCATCGGTTATGCAGAGTAGCGCATAAATTGATATGAAACTGAAAAGAAATTGTTCCTTATATATTTATAGTCTTATTTATTAAAAACGAAAACGGAAGCTAGCTTCGGCAAGACGAAGTTTTAATACCTTTGCTGAAATTGCTAAAATTAAAAAAGTAGCAAAAGGAATAAGGTATACATAAATAAACTAGATTTGTATAGTTTCATGCCAATAGCTTTTACCCTGATCAAGGTATGCATAAAAAAATAAGATTTGGAAAGACTGTCAATAGCTTTTACACTGCGCGAAATATATTCCATTCTTGCAAGTTATGTCCGATTGTTCCTATAGGAGCTATAGGATATAGACATCCGATCGGTGCGGTTTTCAAATTTGTTCTGCGTACACTTGTTTTAGGATGATTGTGAAAGTTTAAAATCGCTAGCCTTTAAACTGAGCTCGCAAACGGTATTGAAACAGACGGACAGACGGACATGGCTATATTGACTCCCCTATTGATCCTGATCAAGAATATATATACTTTATGGGGTCGGAAACGTCTCCTTCACTGCGTTACAAACTTCTGACCAAAATTATAATACCCTCTGCAAGGGTATAAAAACTGGAATTCTTGATCAGGATCAATAGGGGAGTCGATATAGCCATGTCCGTCTGTCCGTCTGTTTCAATACCGTTTGCGAGCTCAGTTTAAAAGCTAGCGATCTGAAACATTCACAGTCGTCCTAAAACATGTGTACGCAGATCCAGTTTGAAAACCGTCCCGATCGGATGTCTATATCCTATAGCTCCCATAGGAACAATCGGATATAACTTGCAAGAATGGAAGATATTTCGCGCAGTGTAAAAGCTATTAACATAAATCTTTCCAAATCTTATTTTTTTATGCGTACCTTGATCAGGGTAAAAGCGCTTGGCGATCGGACGTCTATATCCTATAGCTCCAATAGGAACAATATGGTGAAATCGGTTAAAATTTAATGATTTTTAGGATATTTCGCACAGTATATAAGCTATTGACATGAATCTTTTCAAATCGTATTTTTGTATGCATACCTTGATTAGGGTAAAAGCGCGTGACGATCGGGCGTCTATATCCTATAGCTCCCATAGGAACAATATACCTTATTCCTTTCGCTACTTTTTTATTTTTAGCAATTTCGGCAAAGTCTGGAAGGGTATTAAAACTTCGGCTTGCCGAAGTTAGCTTCCGTCCTCGTTAAGGTTGAGTTTTTCAATTTATCTTCGTCATAAGAAAGACTAAGAAGAAGCACTCATATTATAAATGGGTTTGTATATGGGTCAGTCAGTTTTACTGGACCAAACCCAGAAAAGTTTAGCATAATTTCTGAAATTTGAAATTTAGTTCGTGAAAGAAAATTCATACAACTAATACCGATGTCGATGTCTGGTAGAGAATAAATGTACACTCATGGTTGTTGTATCAGAATGTTTTTGTAATCCATTAAATAAATAATACTATATTTAAAATTGCCAAATAAGTATTTACTCTCTTCAAATCGACACCGGCTCACTAATGGGGATATTACTGGTTGTGGCGTACATGGTCAAAAAGTATTATAAAAGTATAAGGAAATTCATATATTTATACCCTTGCAGAGGGTATTATAATTTCAGTCAAAAGTTTGCAACGCAGTGAAGGAGACATTTCCGACCCTATAAAGTATATATATTCTTGATCAGCATCACCAGGAGAGTCGATCTAGCCATGTCCGTCTGTCCGTCCATCTGTCCGTCCGTTTCTACGCAAACTAGTCCCTCAGTTTTAAAGCTATCTGCTTGAAACTTTCCCAAAAGTTGTCTTTCTATTGCAGGTAGTATATAAGTCGGAACGAGCCGGATCGGGCCACTATATCATATAGCTGCCATATAACTGAACGATCGGAAATGCCATAACTTTGGTGTTTTTAAAGTTAGGAAGTTGGGATTTTCTATGGGTTTTATTTTTGGCCAATCAATCCGACCTACCAAATTTAATAAGGATCGGCCGACTATATCTTATAGCTGCCATATAATTGAACGATTGGAAATGACATAACTTTGGTGTTTTTAAAGTTAGGAAGTTGGGACTTTTTATGAGTATTAAGAATGCATCATATGAATAATTTTGGAGATTATAATTTATAGAATATTCTGCAAGGGTATATCAACTTCGGCTCCGCCCGAAGTTAGCTTTCCTTTCTTGTTTTAAACTATTATTGAATAAAAAGTACTTACTAAGGAGAGCTAAAATCGTTTGATGTTAGTATCCATGAGCAATAATTAAATTACTTCTTTTACTACAAAGAATGAAGCTTAATTTTTAGTAATTTTATATACATTGAATTTACCATAAATCAACTTGTTGAATTAACTCTTAAGGTGGCGAATAAACTTATTTATCGTTGTTTGTTTGTTTGTTTTGGAATGGTGATCAAGTAAAACTGAGTTTTCAGTTTGAGGCGAAAAGCAACTATCAGCTGATTTTCCGGGGCTCTCTTTCAGAAAGCTTTGAGTCTGGTTTCCGATTGACTTTGCTCCTCTTTCATTTACTTTGCCGTCTTTGCTTTTGCTTCTGGCTTTGCTTTTTGTATTTGCCGCTCGTGGATTTCTGTGGAGTGGAGTTCCGTCGTCAGTTTGAGTTTGGTTCGTAGCGCGTTCGCACACGCGCGCGCTGTATAGTTTATATATTTATACTCCCATCCGATCCGAGATCCGAGATCCGAGATCCAAGATCCGATCTGACCGTCGTCGTGCTCCTCGCCGCATCTCGCTCGCTCTAATCAGTTGGCCTACGTTTTGGGTCCGCGTACTTCGCGGCTAATTTCCAACTTAAAGAAGTGAAAAACAACAAAATCAGGCAAATAATTGAGTAATTAAAGTTAAACGTAAGGAGAGCTGCTCTGCCAAGTGTTTTGTGTTTGTGCGCTTTTTGTGTAACGGTCTGCTAACTGGAGCTGGATCTTAAAAATTATTACGGCAAAGTGTTTGAGTAAATTGATTGTGGAATGGTTTTGAAAGCTTAATAGTGGATGCGATTAACTGATCGATTTGGGTCCAGTATGAGAGGAGGAAGCATACATCGAATAGCCGTCAAGAAACTGGGATTTGCTTGCCATGTTTTTCATAAGCGGAAAAGAAAGTTTGATTTAGGAGAATCGGAAAGTGATAATACCAGAAATATGAATTTTTAGTGGGGAATTAATAACATTGGATATTTTTTTATTTAAATGAAAATAGGCGAATTTCCTCCTTTTAACAAAGAATTTGAAACATTTGTCATAGAATAAAAATAAATAAATAATCAGCTACGCCTTTATCTCATTCTTTTTAGTGGTTTCAATTACGACTTTGTTTGAAATGTTGTTTGTTAGATTTTAAAATGTGATAAAATGATAAAATAGCTTGTAACCAATATCTGATGACTGAAATTGTGAATACCTTCTGAATGTTATTCCAGAATCAACTCAAGTGATCTTTGATTGCATATTGTATTTCAAATGATCTCATAAGATTATCTCATATTTAACAAAGCCATAAATAGCAGTTAAACAACCAAGGGGAAAATCTGAATTGTTGAACCTGATGATTATTGATTTTTTCTAGCGAAATAGATACATTTTAAAATTTAAAACTAAATATCCAAAAACAATATGGGTTCTTCACTCACAAAATAAATAATAAGTGAAGTCTCCAGTATAAATAAATCATTAAATAAGTTTTCTTTAATTATAAAATTCAATACATTTATTAATCTACAAAAAGTAATCCCAAGAAAAAAAACTAATCAACAGCAGTTTGCGACTAGTTAACCAGCAGCAAAAATTGGCAACTTCCTTCAGTTGGGCGCCAAGTCATTAGACGCCGCCCTTCCCCCCCACACCCTCCTCCCATCAGCCCCCTTTCCCTCCTCCTTGGAGCCCACTCAAAGCACCGCTATGACTAGACAGGCCTTGTCCATATATTTCTTTATTTTTTTCGCATACGAATATATGCAGCCATTAGCCACCGCATCAACAAACGAGACGCCACAAACACACTCTGATCTTTTGAGGCACACACAGATACTCGAAGGAGGATCGCGGGAAGAGTGAAGGGGAAGGGACTCGGTGACGTTTGCTTTGGGGCCCCTTCACTTTTTGTTGTTGCACAGAAAGAAAATGTTACCACCTTCAAATATAATATTATTTCAAATGTCGATGGCTTACAACTCCAAAGAGCAAGCTTTATCCTACAAGAGCCTCTAAGAAATACCAGTTTTAGTAAGGGTATATCCCATATCATAAAGATAACCACAAATTAAGTAATAAACATACTTTTCTGAATGAAATATAATTTTGAATTTCATCAAATAAAGATTCTAACGATAACAATAATAGGTTTCTACGTATTAATTTTGTAATTGTTGTGAATATATTTTGAAACAAATTTATCTGCGTGTTCGTCGTTGTTTTTTCGTGGTCGGATGAAAAAGTTGCCGCGGCAAGTGCAATTCGCGGTTCGCCGTCCGCGATTCGCATTCCACTGGCCGAAAGTATCTTTGGAGTTTTGCATCTTGTGGATGTCTGCCGCGCTTAACTGTAAATTGAGGCATGTGCCGCACACTCTCTCGCTCTCTCTCTTTCTTTCTGTATATGTGCGCTCTCTTTTGTCTGTCAAGTTCAATGTGCGTTGACAATTTTCCATTTCCAAATGGGCGACGTTTTCCACTTTGATTGTTTTTTTTGTTTGCTGCCGCCGCTTCTTGTACTTTCACACACACTGGGCTTCCATTGTGCCTGCGCAACTGTGCGTGTATTTTAATTTATTTTAATCGAACGGCAATTTAAATTTAAGCCGAAGCCGAATAAAAAACAAGAGGTAGTGGGATTTTTGCCATTCAACCCGGAACTCAAGGTGTAGTATAGTACTCGAAATCAGGCAGTCGCCCTGCCGATCGAGTCGTGTGTGGATGTTTTCCAAGCAATGTATCTACGAATATCGCTCCATCCTCATCGCAAACGCAATGCATAAATCAGCGACGGAAAGAAGAAAAAATCTCCGCTTCGTCGTTCTTTGTTAGTTTTGTGAAAGCGCAAGTCGAAGCGTAATTTTTACACTTTTACCAAAGAGAAAGAAGACGGAAAGATACATAGATACTCTTTACATACGGCTCATAAGCATCTTTTCTCTATTACCCACCGACATACACGATTCGTTTGCCGTTGTTTGTCTTTAAGCCGCTTAATTGAAAGTCTTGGCCTGACTTATGACTCGTTGGAAAAGCCAAAAGTAAAAAGAAGACCTCGGCTTTTCCAGCTGGGCCAGAGTGAAACCGCAGGAGCGATGAAAATATCATTTTATTGATAGCAGTGGTTATTTGGTAAAGGGAAAGCTTTCAAAACAATTTACCAGAAGTTCTCACCTAATTTCACAGTGCAATAAACTCCACTTAACGAAACTCAAGTGAATATAATATGCAAGCAATTTGAAAAATTTGAATTAGTGCTCAGGCTAAACCTGCCAATGTTATTATTTGCCCATCTGTGCATGTGCTCAAAAGTCAACCGAACAAACTGAATCCACAGCAGACAACAAACAAGGTAAGATGAAATCAATTTTAATAATCTTGGCCCGTTTTAGTTTTTATTTATTTTTGCATATCCATTTGTTAACTCGTTTGCGATGTCTATTAACGGCATTCATCGCCCCGGGATGTGAGCTCATCTCGCATCCAAATGATATTATTCTCAGCCCGAAACTTGTTCGGTGATTCATTTTTCACAGCTCTGCCTTTCGATTTGTTTATTTACAGTTGTGATGTCTTGTTGCTTTGCATATTTTGGCATGCAATACAGACACGTTCAAACATTTAATCACTTAACCGTTTCGGCTTAGTTTGTTCAACGTTCCCCGAGCGTTTTCATTGCTCTTAACTTTCCAAGTCGTTGCACACCTTTTCCCCTTATCTGCCAAGCCCAATGTCAAGGTTGCCATTGTTAATGTTTCGTATAATATGAAAAATAAAATCAAATATAATATAAAATGTGTGAGGAGTCAGCTTATTGCCAATTGTCTGCCACTAATTGGAGCTCAACACTTCTCAAGTGGAACGAACGCCCCGTCGCACCGCTCTTTTTCGTATAATTTGTAATTGCTTCGTTTTTCGGACAAGCTACAAAAGATATTTTACAAAAATAAATTAAGTGTTGCGGGCAATTAGTTGAGTCTTAAGCTGGCTATTTACAAAACGTAGGCAGATTAATGGCCGTCGATGGAGATGTGAATATGAACGTGAGCTCGGGTTATTCGAAAGATTTTTGTCATTTCTTAGGCTTATAGCAGGTAGATACAAAAATGATAAGACACTTCGCGGGTTTTTTTTGGGTTGATTATCTAGTAAATACACAAAAAAAATTAAATGATTTTAAACTATTTTGTAACTATCGTATTTTGTAGAATTTTAAATTGAAATTAAACATGACAATTGCAAATATATATGCTAAGCTTATTTCCATTTTTATTTAATCAAAACCTCAAAAGCTTTTTGAACCTAAGCTACTCTTAAAATCTTAATTATGGCCAAAAATAAATATATTAATAAATGCCAACACCATTTTCAAGGTTATGATTAAGTATCGATAATTGTGTCAGCGGCCATCAAGAAACGCATCTATCAACATCTGATGGAACCGCGAGACTTAAATATATTATTGGCCATATAAAAGTCTACGAAATTGTTGGTCAATTAATAAGTCATTAGGGCAAAGCTTTAGTTCCAGCCTAGAGCAAAGAATTCTAACATTTATCAATACCGTTCGCTATTCTTGTTGGTTTCTTTCTCTAAGAACTTTGCCCCAGAGCAAAGATGCGGAACCGTTAAGCGTTTCACCCAAAGCAAGTCACAGCGAAGCGAATGGAGAAAAACTATCATAAATTTGACTTTTTAATGTTAATAAAACAATTTTTACGATTCTTTTATGTGTGAAAATTACGCAGAAGGGCATACAAATAAACGAGACCACGAGCTGTGGAACAGTTACCCAGTAGGCAGGTGCAAGCCAAGTTGATATAATACGTCATTACGGAGCCTGATCCGCACCTTCAGCACATACCTACCATTTTTTCCACAACTCCCTTTTGGAGTTCCCTCAACAGTTCACTGAGAGAAATAGCCGAGATTTGGTTATTTTGCTTAATATGTAATCCATATCAAAAATGAATATTCCATTCTAAAAAACAAATTATCCTTTTGTGTGTAATGTATGAAAATATTAGGTTTTAATTATATTTCTTCAAATATATTTTACCCAAAGGCAGAAGCTAGTTCCAAAGTCATAATAGAGAGTTATTTAATAGATCATTTTTTTGTGGTTTTTATTTACTTGGTTTGGTATTGACAAAAAGATTTAAAATTTTATCGTTTTTAAACTTGATAATATGTGTTATTTTATGATTTTATTTCGCTTGCTTTCAGTATTTCTTAAAAATAAAGATAACATTTAAGAAAACTCCGTTCTGAAGCTAAAAGCAAGCACATTTAAACATACATGATACTAAAGGTTAAGCTTATCTTAGAATGTGACCACTTTAAAGTAAATTTAAAAGAGTTAAAAAAAAAATGATAGCTTGTGTTATATTTTTCTCAGTGGATTTAGTACCCCCAGATCATTACTTGGAAAAATGTGTGACTTTGGAGTGAGATGACACCGTGTAAATAGCCGACGGTGAGGAAGAAACTTAACCGAAACTACTGAACAACAAGTGTAGAACAATCAGGCGCGAGGCGGTAGAAAACTGCCCAAGTAGCTGGAACGCAGGTCACTGAACTCCCGGACGGACGCTTCAAATATATTTTACACCAAGGCATTAACAAAAGCTAGTTCCCCCTTTCCACCCCTCTTCTTAGCAAAGTCATGATAGAGCGGTATTTAGTTGACCAGTTTTTTTTGTGAATGGCTTTTATTTATCTCGGCCTGGAATTGCCAAAAAGTAATGCTATCAAGTTTAAGCGTCATAAAACTTGCTAATATGGGTTATTTTGGGTTTTTATTCGCTTGCTTTCAGTATTTCTTTTATTATGTCACATGTTTATGAGACATGTGGGTGCGAATCAGAGACATGAGTCAAATTAATTAAATAATATTACTTTAAGATACAAAAATGTATCAAGGGATGAAAACACATACAAAGTTTAGACATTTGATGACAGTAATAAAGTTTATTGAATCCAGCTAACCTATTTTTTAAATATTTTTTATAGACTTAGTGTTGAAGTTTTTATGCCAAGTTTTGACTACAAAATATCTACAGTATTAGTCTACTTTATTTCAAAATAGAGGGTGACTAAGATTTAAGCAATTTTGTTGATTTGCTCAAAATTTGGTATCATAAAGAATCTTTTTTTCAGGCCTGAGCTTTGGGAAATCCGATTTCTGTTGGACATTTTCCAGAAGTTTTTCATTCCGCCTCGCTGTACTTTTCTCAGATTGACATTCCAGAGCATTCCCGAGCAAATTGCGTTATAATTCTTAGCACTCTGTGAAATTAGCAGCGACAATGTCCGGAAAGTGAACCGCTTCCAATAACTGTATCCAACGTGACAACCATCAATGTGCGTCCCCGATTTGCCGCAACTCATTCACTCATTCCTCGCTGACCCACTCCGCACCACCGGTGGAGCATCCACACGAGATCGAGTGGTGGCCATGCGATACCAGGTCTTCAGACGATGCCTAATCGTCCAGCGTTCTCATTACGATGGCCGGCAATTTCCGCACCTACTTAGCCGCCTCGCATGTCTAACCGTAAATCCCTATTGACCCCCATTTCCCAACCGTAATGCCTGACCACACACATCCTCTTTCGCTCCGCTGAGGGCTGATTTGTAACTTGATCAATGTGGCAATTGCTTCCTCTTCTTCCAAGCCACTTGGCCTTTTCATTAGCTTCAATTTCAATTTGCTTTTTGCTATTTGCTATTTGCAATTTGCGCACCAAACTCTGTTTCGTTTCTGTTTCTATTTTTCAGCCATTTTTGCCTCGGCCTGGGCCAAGAAAAAAACTTGTTTATGGCTCCTACAAGAATGTGGAAAGCAAGAAAACGAAACGAAAAAAAGAAATAAACAAAACTGGGTTAAAATTGTTAGACAACCTGAAGTTGCAGTTGCCGTTTCTGAAATATTGCAAAGGTATGGGGTCTGCTATCGAGTCTGGTCTCTAAGCAATGGCCTCGCCAATCTGCAAACTCCAAACCCCTGAAGTGTGTTCGGATTGCAGGCACACATCGAGTGCTAAATAGAATGTAATGGAATGTTTGCTGGATATGGGAAGATCCCAGCAAAGACCCGGTTCTACTTTAAATTAAAGTGGACATATTTTTTATTAAGCTTTGAGAGTGTTTTATTGGTTACCATCAATACAGATCAAAGCGGGTTTGACTCGAGAATTTATCTGGACAGTATAAAAAGAGATTTGGAAAATGTTTTACAAGTGGCTCAGGAATTGGAATATATTACCCAGGGTCACAAATATTTTCCTATGATATTAGGGCTCTCCTAAGTATAGTCGAATACAAATTTATGTTGGATCACCCACAAGTTCCGTGGTATAGCTAAGTTCGACGAAATTTTGAAGTATGTTTTCTTTTGCTGAAACACAGCTATTACAAAAATTAAATTGTCGATATTTTAATACATTTTTTTTTATAGTTGCTAAAGTATTATAAAACTCCGGCTCAAACCATTAACCATGACTTTGGAATATGCCTTCAAATAGATCTCCGATCTTTTAAACGCCTCTAATAATGAAATGGAATAAAAGTTTCTATGAGAATTTTAGGCAGTGTAGAAAAAATGCCAAAAGTGTGTTTGATTTTAACATGACTAATTTTGTAACAATTCTTTTAAAAAAACTGTACTTTAAGATTCTATTAATGCATAAAAAAACAGTTTAGTCTCGCATGTTAGAACAATAAATGTTTTTAATAATTTAGAAGCATTCTTTGCTTGTGATTTCCATACACATTTATTTTTTTTATTGTTGTTTGCTCTTGTAAGCTATTGTTATTATAAATTATTATTTTTAAAAAGATAACCCAAAACCTTAAATTACTGAACATAATCCCTTACATTTTTGGGTTCCATTTTGGGCTTGTTTGCATTGACTTCTGTGTTTGTTTCGGAGCCACTGCACTTGCGCAAAGCCCACAAACTCGGAAACCCTACAAAAGTCAACCGAAACTCGTCTTGGGTATGGTCAGTAATGAAATAAAGCCGAGCTGAACCAAGCCAAACCGAACCAAGCCAAGTCAAGTGAGCCAACTATCGGCGGCTACTTAGTATGCCCGGGCCGAGTTCGACACTCAGTCCGAGAAGGCTGAAAAGGTGCAACAAACGCAACGCTCGGTTTCAATTGGGTTGTTGTTGGCTTATTAATTACCTCACCGCACAATTGCGTGGCACATACAAAACACCCACCAGAAGGATGGGGACCGGGGGCCTGCCGCTTTTGTAGAACCCACAAAAGGCGTTCGACGGTGGCGGGTAATACGAGTAACGACTTTTTGTGGCCCGTAAATGGAGCCCGGCCGATGAAGTCAACA